TACGAGGAGGTTTGCGACGCTCATTATAGAGACGACGATCAAACCTGGTGGAACTGTGATAACACTCATTGTCCAAACCGTTACCACACACCATCTGGTGATTTTCCTCGAGGCTTCAAAGCTGGTATCGCTGTCGAAGCTTGGCAAGACAATTTCCTATTCGCCAACGAATTTTCGGAGTCACCTCCAAAACCTGAACATTTAATCTCGCTCCCTGAGTCGAGATCTCAAACACCTGAACCGGAGGAATTACCCTTCGAGTTATTTACACCAGAACCTCCTTCTTCGCCCGACACACAAGGCGAATTTATCCTCTTATCCGCAACCATGGGTGACGTCAAGCCAGACAATATCCCTAAGCTCTCTTCAGCGTCTCAATACGCTGACTGGTCTGCCGCTATGCGCGGTTATTTAATATTCATAGAGGCCTGGCCCGCTGTTATTGCAACAGTAACTACCGACACAGAGTACAAGAAACAGAATGCCCGTGCTCAGGGTGTTCTATTTATGCGGACTGATCGCTCGATGCATCATTTGCTCGAGGGATCTAGTGGTGAACTCAAGACCGCTAAGGAAATGTGGGCGGCCCTTAAGACAGCCTTTGGTACACCCGACACGGCATTCGTCTGGAGTCTCTTCCAGTCGGTGATCAAGTCTCCGGAGATGTCTGATTCCAAACCTCTGCAGGATCAGATCAACAAGCTGGTTACTCGGCTTAAGGAGATTACGGCTGGTGGCATAACTCTCGGTGAATCGACCCAGGCTCTTCTCCTTCTGTCGAAGGTGCCTGAATCCTATCAATCGATGATCTCTGCGCTCATGGCGACGCAGAACATCAAGGATCTCAAGGTCGACTCTGTTCAGTCGAAGATTCTTGCCGAAGAATCTCTCCGCCGGTCTGGTATGGGACAGTCTGCGTCCAAGACATCCCAGGTCAAGCACAAGTCATCGGGTCCCTGTGGTCACTGCGGTGGAAATCACGGCAGTGAGAATTGTTGGACAAAGTACCCGCATTTGCGCCCCCAAAATAAGGGTGGCGGCAAGGGGAAAAAGGACAACAAGGGCAAAGGCAAAGGGAAGAATAAGGGCAAGGGCAATGGTAACGGACAATCTGGTTCTGGTTCCTCCAACGCTGCTACTACTTCAGACTCCACAAATGTTGTAACTGTAGAATCCTCCGTGTCGTCTTCAGCTAATACTATGACTGCTTCCTGGTATACTGCGGGTCACTCCGCTTCTGGAAGAATGACTGACTGGATTATGGATTCTGGTGCGTCGAAGACAATCACCAACGACATGGCTGATTTTTGGGACTATACTCCTTACGAGGAACCCATGATTTTTGGTACAGCCGGCAAGTCTAAGATTGCAGCTTATGGAGAAGGGACCATCAAAGGTGTTGTGCACGTTGAAGGGAAACATGTTAAAGCAACTATTACAAATGTTGCTTACATCCCTGCCGCATCTGGTCGCCTATTTTCTACTGGTGTTATTGAGCAATCAGGTTTTACCCTAGTTCAGGGAGGAGGTCGTATGGTCATCTATGACCAACCTATTTCGCAAGGTCGAGTCTGTGGTAACATGATCATGGAGGCACACCATAAGCCCTTCAATAATCTCTATATGTTGTACCTAGACATTTTGACACCGCAATCGGCAAAGTCTACAGACAAGTCGAATTTTCGTCTCTGGCATGAACGCTTCGGACATTCGTCTGAAGATGTTATTCGTCAGATTCCCAAGCACACTAAGGGTGTGGATTCCATTGGTGCCAAGGATACTTCTTCTCCTTGTGCAGGGTGTCAGTGGGGCAAGTCTCATCGCGCTCCATTTCCCCCATCGGCTAAACGTGCTACAAAGCCCCTTGAGCTCATTCATACTGATGAGGACGGTCCTATGCGTACCACTGCAATAGGTGGATGGCGTTATTTCATCAGCTTTCTTGACGACTATACTGGTCTTGGTCGTGCCTATTATCTCAAGCACAAGAACGATTCGATCCAAGCGTTCGATGACTTCAAGGCATGGGCTGAGAACCAAACAGATGAAAAAATCAAGGCTGTACGCTCGGATCGTGGGGGGGAATATACGTCTGCTGCTTTTACCGAACATTTGCGCAAATTTGGTATTGAACATCAGTTCACAATGCCGTACTCTCCTCAACAGAATGGGAGAGCTGAGCGCTGGAATCGGACCATTGTTGAGAAGGCTATGTCTATGCTGCATCATGCTGGACTAAGCCATGGTTTTTGGCAATTGGCTGTGGACACTGCGGTTCATATTTATAATCGGCAACCTATGCGACGCCTTAACTGGCAATGCCCCATTACTCTCTGGAATGGCACAATTCCGGACATTTCATACTTTAGGATTTTTGGGTGCAAGGCATTTGTGCATGTGCAGAAAGAACAGAGATCTGGGAAGCTCGACAAGAAGGCTGTTGAGATGATCTTTGTAGGCTATGAAGTTGGTTCCAAAGGGTATCGTTTCTGGAACCCGGCTACTCGAAGTATTGTTGTGTCTCGTGATGTGACCTTCGATGAAGAGACATTTCCTGCACGAAAGGACTTAGGCAATAATCCGAAATCCCTGGATGAGCCGTTTGATGAACCTCCTGAGGATGCCAACTCAGAGGATTTAGATTTTGAGGATATTCCTATCCCTGTTCCTGTCCCGCCGGAACATGAACCTGAAGAACATCAGGAGCCAGTGGGAGATAATCCGCAACAGCAACCTGATCCAGTAGCTCCTCCGCAACCTCAGTATGAGCGTCCTCGCCGTCAAGGTGCTGGACAGAACCCTCAGAGGAATAGAGACAATGCCTATGGTGACGAGCCACCAGCAAGTATTGACCGTCGTACTGATAGTCAAGGCCGTCAACAACCTGAGGCTGAAACTGCTCAATTTATACGGATGCTGGCGGAAGCAAACCATGGTCTTCCCCAAAGTCATAAGGAAGCCATGGAATCTCACGACCATGATAAATGGCTCGCTGCTGAAGGTTCTGAGTACAAGTCACTCATGGACAATAAGACTTGGGTTCTAGTTCCACGGCCTAAAAACCGGAAGGTTGTCAAGTGCCGTTGGGTTTATGCGATTAAGCACGATGGTCGCTATAAAGCACGTGTTGTCGCAAAGGGATTTACCCAAGTATGGGGTCAAGATTATACTGAGACTTTCTCTCCGGTTGCACGGTTTGAATCTGTACGCTACTTGTTGGCACATGCAGCCCTTGAAGATTGGGAGATAGAGTCTATGGATGTCAAGACGGCATTCCTTAACGGTGACCTTGACGAGGAAATCTACATGGAACAACCCGAAGGATGGGTTGTACCTGGCAAGGAGAACTTTGTCTGTCTTCTCAAGAAGGCAATTTATGGATTAAAGCAAGCTTCTCGTCAATGGAATGCTAAGATCCACAAGTCTCTCCTAGACTTAGGGTTTAAACGGACTTATTCGGATGCTGGAATTTATGTCTTCTCCCGGGACTCTGACGGACACACCTGCCTAATCATATTGTATGTCGACGACTTGCTCATCATGGGTGACTCGAAATTGTTTATCGACAACATCAAGCAGAAGTTGTCCTTAGAGTATCAGATGACAGATCTGGGTGCTGTTCAGCGATTCCTTGGTCTTAGAATACGTCGAGAGCGTACTACACGTCTCATCTACGTTGATCAGGAAGACTATATTGAGTCAGTTTTGGAGAGGTTTCAGATGTCCAACTGCAAGCCTGCACGGACACCTCTTCCCGCTGGAGCAGACCTAGAGAAGAATCCAGACACAGCATCTGAGGTTTTCCGTACCCGCTACCAGAGCATTATTGGCAGCATCATGTATGCTATGCTCGGTACTCGTCCAGACATTTCTTTCGCGGTCACACGTCTGGCAAAGTATTCTTCAAACCCATCCAAAGAGCATATGCGGTTAGCCTACTATGTCCTAAGATATCTTCAAGGGACTAAGGAACTCGCTCTCTGTTATGACGGAGGCTCGAATTCTGGTCTGATTGCCTATTCAGACTCTGACTGGGGTGAAGATCACGATGATAGGCACTCTACAAGTGGCTTTACTTTCCTTATGGCCAATTGTGTCGTTTCTTGGGTGTCAAGACGTCAACCGACGGTATCTTTGTCTTCAACTGAAGCAGAGTATAAGGCCAGCTCTGACTGCTGTCGTCAGATGGCCTGGCTACGTCATTTTGGAGAAGAACTGGGAGATAATATGTCTCATCCAACTCCGCTTTGTCTTGACAACCAAGGCAACATTTTCCTTGCGGTGAACCCTGCTGTGGATCGCCGCACCAAGCATATAGAAATCCGTTATCACTATATTCGGGAGTTCTACGAACGTGGAGAAATGGAGATCTACTACGTCGCAAGTGAAGACCAACTTGCTGATGCCTTGACCAAGAATGTTCCATTCAGTGGAATTGAGAAATTCAGGTCTTCAGTTGGCATGATGAGATACTTGACATCTTGAACAAGTGGGAGTGTTGAACTTCCGACTTTCCAGTGTTATCTTATCTTATCAGTTACGTACATATATGGACTTGTGTTCTGCGATGTAGTATTACATACATTCTTTTGATGGACTCTGTCTGGACTCATCTTGTGACTCGCTCCAGACCGATCTACACTGTTCCAGACTTATTCTGGATCATTCCACTCCCTTCCGGCATGTTCCATGACCTTCCAGTACATTCCTTGATCACATGGACGCTTATGCATATCCCTATCTCTGGAGTTAAGGCTTACTCATTTCCCTAAAACTCGGACTTAGTGATTACTGATCTGCTTACTGATGTAGCATGTGATCAGTCCCAGACATGTATATATACTAGGGTGATTCCCCCCTAATGGATAACGATCTCTCCTCTCTTCTGCCTGCCTAGCATCAGAGTCTTCCCTCTGGGATAGGTCTGTTCACTCCACTCTACTGTCCTTCACTTCCACTGGCCTAACAAGCCCTTCTAAACCTCTTTCACTTCAACACACAAGACCCTCCCGCACGCCATCGGCCGCGCCGCCACGACCGCCGCGCAGACGCTCCAGGTGAGCCCCGCGGCCGGCGAGGAGAAGCTCCACACCGCGCTCGGCGCGTACGCCGGCGCATGGGAGAAGATCGCGGATGCGCGCGTGCAGCAAGACGAGTCGATCCGCGCGCAGTTCCTGCAGCCCTGGCAGACGACGCTCTCCACGAGTATCGCGGTCGCGATGAAGGCCCGCCAGGCCGTCCGCGGCAGCCGGCTCGAGCTTGACGCCGCGAAGCAGGTGTAAGTGCCCGGTGCTCTCAGGCGCGCGGGCGAGCGCGAAATTGACGTTAATTGACGTGTGTCCGCTAGGTTGAAGACTACGGGGCCGTCGAGACAAGAGGCTGCTCGGCTCGAAGTCGAGAACGCGGAGGATGACCTTGTCCAGAAGACCGAAGTCGCTATCACGCTGATGAAGGCGGTCCTCGACAACGTACGTTGCGCTTACCTCCTCCTACATTTTATGCGCCGCTGACCCTCGTGACCAGCCTGAACCACTGAAGGACCTCCACGAGCTCGCCAAGGCACAGCTCATCTACTACGCAACCGCCGCCGAGGCGCTCTCAACCGTCCAGGGTGAGCTCGAGGAGCTCAGCGTTGCTGCCGAAGGCGAGTACAGGTGCGTGTGTCCTCCGCGTCGCCGCTGCACACGCATGTACTGACTATCCGCTGCTCTGCAGGAAGTCGCGCGACCACTGATTCAGCAACGAACTGCGGATGCCTTCACGTTCACGATATTTATACCTGACTGCTCTGTTGTCTCATCTACCCGTCCTCCGTGTATGCTGCCCTGACAGACAATCTACCATTTTGCTCTCTGATGCACTGGCCCCGGCCTCGCCGCGCTTGTCCTCATTCGGATGCGTGGCGAGTGGTGGTACCTGGGAGTATTGTCAGTGTACACGTCTGCGAGCATCTACTGATGAACTACAGCTGAACCATGGGCAACGCCTGGTGCGTCTTTTGCGTTGTCGCCGACTTGGCTCCCTTTCCGGCACCGTCGCTCCTCGTCCTCTCTGTGCACTACTGCCCTTCTCGCGCTGTTCTCGTGCTGACCTCCGCCTGCGCTACGCTCATGCCCGCGACCGAGGCGAGTTCATAGACACCCCCGGCACCGCCCCTTCACGCTTCTTCGAGCCTACGCAGGTCCGTCTTCTTTGTGCATTCACTCAGAAAACCCGTCTTACTAGCTTTCATCTCTGACTTGCTTCCGCCTTCCCCCGCCCCGAACCCACCCCAAATCTCCAACCTGTGCATGCCCAGGCGATGCTCAAGCATCGTACCACCCTCCTCTCAACTTTCGGCGGCGAGTTTATGCACCGGACGGCTCGCTACACGCCGTTCTCTGCGGCGCTCTCCAACAAGCGCCCGCGGTCGCCCTCCACATTGTGTCTATCACCCGTCACCCCCTGATGTCTCTCTGCGCGACGTAAAGTGCGCTGCGCGCATCCTTCGACTGCGTGCGTCACCGCCATTACCCGTCATCATGCGTCCAACCACGGTACGCTCACCGTCAAGTCTCGGTAACAACTGACGACGACCGACATCTCACTCTTCCGATCTCGCGCGAATAGCACCGGCCGACGCGTATGCAACTCCCGTCAACGTGTCCTCGCTCACACGCGTACGGAAGACGGCACACGACCCGCGTAAACAGCACTCTGTACGACGACCGCCTGCGGTCTCCTGCCCGCGCGCAGGCATCTCGCAGCGGTGGACAGCGGTGCGCAACGGTGCGCTTTTCCTCGCGACGTGCAGGTGCCACGCCCAAATACATCGCGAGTCGCCCCGTGCGCTCCTACGTACGTACACCCACAACCCGTCTCCCCAACTACAAGCTCCTTGCACTCACTACACTAGACCTACATAGCATACGGACGAGTTCGCGCGTGTCGATTGCTCGTGCGACGCACCGTCTCTTCCCGCTCGCCATGACTCGCAGGCATCGACTAAGCTCGTCAGCCGCAAGTCCTCCTGACCCACGTGTCGGACGAACGGCTCCCGCATGGACGCTCTACAGTCACCCGTCGTCAGCGAACTCATCGACCGCCTGGACCTCAAGAGAGCTTACCTCTGCCCGTCCGCGCCGATACCGACAACCTCGACACCGTGCATAACGACCCGCACACGCAGCCCGTCGCCAAGGCGCGCTCACTCGGCGAGCGCGTCTTATCAGCAACGAGCACGAAGTCAGTACTCGCCCTTCAACTCGGTGGGAAAAGCAACTCACCGATGCTTTTTCTTGCCCGCAGCCCTCGCTTTTATACCTCGCTCGAGAGCTCGTCAGCGCGATGACAGCGGCCAAGTCGCCGTGGCTCTTCTGGGGCGCATCCTGCGCGACGTCCGCGGAAGCGAGCACGGTGCCACTTGGCATGGACGGCAGCCTCGTCCGTGTCACAGACGCAGACGTTCGGGCCCATGCTCGATGGCCCGGGCGTGCGGTACGTGCGCGTTGATCGGGCAGGGTCCGTGAACGTTCCTCGTTGACGGACGGATCCCGGAGGGTGCTTTGCGGGATGGGCAGGAGCCGGGCGTGACTTCGCGGTGAGTTGACTCGGATTCGTCTACCACGCAGCCCGCAAGCTGACGGCGCAAGGACATGTCCTGCATCTCTCAGGTGGACGACCGACGCAGTGTTGGGCAGGGCGATGCGAATGGGACGGGCTGCCGCGTCGTACGAGAGGTGCGGGCAATCTTTCTCCATGTCGCACGGCAGTTGCTCGTCGCGTCCAGTCCGCGAAGCAAGTCTTCGCTTCCGAGTCGTTCATGCGGCCGATCACTGGCGGTACGTCTCGCCGACCGGCCTCTTCCCTCCTCGAGCGAGACACGTCCGTCGGCGAATCGCCCTCAGCCCGCTCGTCAACGAGACCGTCCCCCGCGCCATGGGGGATGTACGAGGTGAGTGCCGTCGCGGTGCTTCTGGCGCTGATGTTCTGTCGCTTAGTGAACTGGAGGGTGTAGTGGGATGGCTCGGGGAGGATGCCAGGCAGGAGTTATGGTGTAGGAGGATGCCAAGCGCAGACGCAGAGAACGGCGCTGTGCAAATGCGAAACTACGGTGGTGGGAACGCGTCGCGCGGCGACGGACGTACGTCGACGCCGGCACAGTGTCTGCCTGCACGATCTGTCCACCGGTGCGATCCCCGCTGCGCAGACGACGGTTGCCGTGACGGACGACCGGCGTGTCGTGCGTGCTGCTCGAAGTAGGTACGGTGACCGTGTATGTAGTCTCGAGGAATAGATATATTTGAGCTATTCTACATGGCGGACGTGGACTGCAAGCGATGGTCAGAACCGTCGCAGCCTCTGCCTGAGAGATCTCGAGTCCAGACCGCGAAATGAAACATGACGAGAACCAGAGAAGTAGTATGTACACTGCACAGCGAATCCCGCAATGGTCATACCTTCGATACTGCCACGATCCATCCATCTCCCTCCCGCATAGCCTGTACGCTTCTTGTCAAGCCATTGGGCTCGTGCTGCGAGTCCCACGTCTGCAGACATTCGAGTGTCAGCGGGCCCAGACGAGAGGCCATGCACTCTGAGGTCGACTGAAGGAAAGGAACGACGCACCTGCACGGTGTGATCATGGTCCAGACGCATCCTGACCGAGTGATGCACGACATGCCTGCTCAACTGGTCACAGTGCCTTGCGCCGCCAGTGAAGCTTGAAAGCTCGCTTGACGTCTACAGAGACAGACCTGTCTCGCAAGGACATGAGGGGTGCGACGTGAAGTCTCTTGCCAGGGGCGCAAGGTACTGGTACTCAGCTCACTGATCGCAACTTGTGTCAGGTTGAGGCGGCGAGATGGGCAACTCACAGGATGGGATCCAGAAGCCTGGCTTATGGAGACGAGAAATCGACGTGAGAGGGACGCCAGTCCGACATCCGTCGACCGTCGACCGTTGCTCGTTTACTTGTACACCCGATCGCCTTCAATGCGTTCAATGAGCAGATCGGTCCGACGCAGAGCGTGAGCTGGTGATGTAGCATGGTGATAGAGCCGTCGAGGATGATAGACTTGAGATACTGAGGCACATGTACGGGCAAAAGGCGACTCGGAGAGCATCGGTGACGGCTCGTGGTCTATTCAGACAGGTATGGGTTGTCCCTGCGTGTTCTCCGTCCTGTCCTGAATGGAAGTCGAGCAAACGGCAGATCAGGTTGTGCAAGGCAGAACGATGTAACACACCGTACTGGGGGACAATGACACCGCTACATGAGGATGACAGCCTCGCCGGCCGCTTGGCTCTAAGTTTTGAATTGCACACGATTGTCTCGACTCACCGTAACTCAAGTATTGTGTAGTACGATAGTAGTCCGTCGCCGTTCAAGATCCCGAACAGTTACAAAGGATCGCTTCGAAGTCTGTCTGCGCGCGTTTGACCGGGCTGAGGAGTGTCGGTGTCGTCGAATGCGATGAGGCTGTTCAAGGAAGGTATCATGGCGATGCTCAGTGAAAAGTAGCTACGAGATCAATGTACTGGCAACGCACGAGAACATCATTGTCGTACGCTGATTCTCTCTCTCGTGAGCATAGTT